AGGGAGATGGCTCAGTAGAATAAGTGCTTGCCTGGCAAGCACAAGGGCCTGAGTTCAATCCCTGGTTCTGCCAAAAAAAAAAAAAAAAAAAAAAACCAAAAACATGATCTTGAGCATTATAACATGGGACCAAAAAGCTGTCAGCCTCAGGTTGCTGGAGTTCGAACCTCACAACTCTCCCCCTGGCCAAAAGTGCCCTGAAGGCATTCGAGGAACCAAAAAAAAAAAATGCTTATTCCATTATAACATGGGACCAGGCAATCATGGAAAACTCCAAATCTCAAGGTCTGTGGATTCAAGGTTACTCGTCTTGATGAAGCAGTAGATGTTGCCGTGGCCAGATGTGCCAACACCAAGCATGTCCTCTCAGCAGCTTGCAGTTCTACGGCTGGCCCCAACAGAAACAGCATTTCAGGAGGCCAGGCTCAAACCTAGCGCTTCTTCTCTTGCAAATGAAGCAAACACGTGATGCAGGGGCTTTGTGCGGAACAATCCTTCATGGGACACTCGCTGCTCTTCCCACAAAGCAGACAGTGCTTCTGACTCTAAAGAGAGATTCTGTTCATCTGAGTGCACCAGGAGGAATAAGAACCTGGATCATCACTACTCTGGACTCATCGCTTTTTTTTTGTCTAGAGAGAGCTAAAAGAGGCTGCCCCTTATGAGACCAATGTAATTTTTAGCCTAGACACTTAAAGCACATTCTACCCAGAGAAATCTAAGGTGTGAGACTTGTCGAAGTTTCAGAATTTCTGACTCTTAGGAACATTTTACCCATTTTTTTTTTATTGTGGCCGGCTCAGCACACCCTAGGCGTGGGACTGGCACACCATGTGATGCCAGGGATTGAACCATGGTCCAAGGGCCGGGGAGATGGCTCAGTAGAATAAGCGCTAGCCTAGCAAGCCCAAGGGCCTGAGTTCAATCCTCGGTTCCGGAAAAAAAAAAAGAAAGAACCATGGTCCCTGTGCACTTGCCTAAGCAGGCGCTTTAGACCACTGAACTATTTCACTAGACCAGTTTTATCCAAAGTTTTGTAATTATGAATCATACTGTGACAGATCTAACTGAAAGAAGTTGACAAAAAGTTCTCTTGGGCAATTGTGAAAAATTTCCATTTGGAAAACAGACTCAACCCTGCTGGCCCCGCCCCTGGGGCATGCTGAGATGACAACTGAGACTGGGTGTGGTGGTGCACATCTGTAATCCCAGCACTTGGGAGGCTGTAAACAGGCAGATCACTACGAGTCTGATCTAGTAGCAAGACCCTGAATACCCTGTAGACCCTTCCCTTAAAAAAAAAAAAAAAAAAAAAAAAAAAAAAGACTCGAAAACCAAGCACCTTCTGATGTGTAAATCCATTTGGTGTCACTGCAGAATGAGGCCTTTGGCTCCATCATAGTGAATCTGTGACTCAGCCTTAGCTGTCTTCCTCCAAGAGGAGGTCTCATTAACATAAATCATAAACTGAAGGAACATGGGTAGAGGCAGGGGTACTAAGACTATACCATTTACACAAAGGAAAGAAAACATTGGTAGCCAACAAAGTAGTCTTTGTATGTTAATGAGTAAGTTTATGGTATATAAACAGAAACTCTCCAAGGGTTCACTAGATAGATATTACCTATTTATCTGTTTGCTCAAGCTGATAAAAGTAAAGCATAGTACAGGACTTCTTCACCCTGGCTTCCTTCCTCTTACCTTGATATGTAACAGTGATGTCAGTTGGAAGAGTCGCAGTGAGGTCCTCATACAGCAATCTGGCACAAAACGAGGACTGACCCGTAAGATCAACTTTGTAAGTAAATGACAGCAAGTTGCACAGGGAGTTTCTTTGCAAGGGTCCAGTTAAAAAGGTTGCAAAGTCACTCTATTGGGAGAGAGGCAAACCCAGTATAAAAGACGATCACTCCAAAGGCAATGCAAAGTAATTCTGACACCTCAAACATACCTACAAAGAGGGGCTTTTTAAATTTCAGAGAAATAAATATGGAACAGAAAAACCAGGCATGGTGGTACATGCCTGTGAGGCTAAGTACAAGTTTGAGACCAGCTTGGGCAATTCAGCAAAACTGTCTCAGCAAGGGCTGGGAATATAGCTCAGTTTTAGAGCCCCTGGGTTTGACCCCTAGTACCACCTTAAAAAAAAAAAAAAAAGCAACACAGTAATGTGCCCACATAATCTCAGCAAAAACCCCATCTCAGAAAAGGGTTTGGGGTGCTATAGCTGTAACTCGGCAGTGCTGCTCCCCAACCCCCCACAATACAACAAAAAATTTAAAATGCAAAAAGACAATGTGTCTCTTTTTCTTTTACATCTACATTGGCCTATAAAATGAGGTATGTAAGATCCTAGATAAATACCTGAAGTCGATCTGCCTGGTACTTTCTCCCAGAGTAAGCATTTAGGCACTCACACAGACTGAACAGGAAGTGCTGAATGTCAGTCTGTAGGTATTTTGCAGCTATCTTTTCTAGAGGAATGAAGACTGGAATGGAGTGATGATGGATCCACAGTGGTTTCTGTATGACAAGGTCCACAAAGTAGGAATCCAGCAGGTTCCCCTCAAAAGCAGTGCTGATGCAAATACACACACCGCGGCTGGTCAGTTTACCACTGAGTCCTAAGGGTAAGACAGTACCTCTCAGCAGATGCTAGGAAAAGGCACCTGACTCACCCAAGCATCCCTGAAGCTCATACAAGGTTAATGAGTGAGAATTAAGATGTTTCCTCTTGACTGAGACTTACACTGAGACTGAGCTGCTTCAATTATGGAAGGGCCGGGTATGGTGGCACATGCCTGTGATCACTGTGAATTTAAGGCTAGCCTGAACTACACAGTGAGACCCTATCCAACCTCCTCCTCAAGCCTCGAAAAAATAAACAAATGGAAGGATAGCAAAAAAGAAAAGGACACCCTAAATATCAAGTTAGTAAAGAAACAAACATGGAAAACTTCAGTATAACCATTTGTATCTACTTGTAACAGCACCAATTCTTTCTATGATCCTCCTTGTGGCATAAATAGAAAAAATTTCTGTTTATGCTGAAACAGCGATTTGAGGAGTTCTATTTGCTCAGTAACATAAAGCAGGCCAACAGTAAAGGAAATTCTGGCACAGGGTCTAGCACATGCTGAGTTGCTAAAATGAACAGTGTGAGCTGCCCACCAACTGATCTGCTGTACAAAGTGACCTGTACAAAATCGTAGGGAAAGATGTCTGCAAACTGTGTGCTATACTGTGTGTAAGGGATGCAAAAGAATTTCTCATGAAATAAGTCCAGTCTAACAAACCATTGTAAATAACTGACTAGATGAATCAGCTCAGAAAAACACTGTACCTGTAAAATGATATGCCTGCAGAATGGCTTTCATGCTTTCCTGTTTCCTTTCCAAAACTTCTTGCTCTCCGATCTCCACTGTTGGGTCAGACGCTACATTGGCAGAAAACACTTTACCCTGCAAGACAAGCAGCCAATCAAAGTGGGTACAGAGGGTGCACTACAAAGCCCCTGGCCTCCCTGACTGGATAAAGCAAAATGTAGAGTGTTTTCTATTGTATCATAGAAATTAGTATAACCCTAGCCATCCAGCTGGTGCTATGAACTGTTGTGGGTCATGCACCAGATATCAGAGTGAAAGCCACTAACTGAACAATTAGTTCTGGTGGGGACTGAGAAAGGATTGTAGGAGGAAAGAGAAACTCTAGGATGAGCACAGGGTGTGCAAAACGGATGGCTATGAAGAGGTGAGCTGGGAAAGCTGCTCTGGTTGGACCGTGAAGGGTTTCAAGTACAGGACTCTAGACCTGCATTTCTAGCTCTGGCCCTATAGACAGTATTAGGCTGACCTTCCCCCTGAGAACAATTCACAACTGGGAAAATACCAAAAATAAGCAAGCAGGCAGAAGATGGCCTAAGAGTATAAGAGAACACCCCGATAGCCAAGACTAAAGTGCAAGGTAAATACTCTGAAGTAAGCTGGCTCTCCATATGCTGAGTCCCTCCCAGCACCTGGTGATTTGTTGTCTAGATGCTGTGCAGGAAGCAGGCTATACTTCATAGCAGTTTCATTGTCTATGAAAACAAAAACTGGAGACCAATGTGACCAAAGCAGCCTTTCTATAGAATAAAATCCCACAGAAAAGGGAGCCTGGCCTGTGTACGATTTGCTCTCCTGGTATTTATAAATTCCTATACTTCACCCGTGTGACTGGGGACGAGGTAGCTATACTAAAATCTTCAACAGTGAAAAGCTAAGCAGAAGAAAAAAAGAAAAGAAAAGCTAAGCAGAAATTCTGGCAGACAAAAGATTAGGAAGAGCAGCTTTAACAGACTTGTCCCCAGCACACTTTCAGATCTTGGAGAGCTACACCTGAAAAAAGGCTATACCTCAGGAGAAGGGAAAATGGGAACTAGACTACCACAGTGGGACGAAGATGGTATGCTCACCTACTATATGCCTGCAGAAATACTAAACTCCCTTGAAAGGAAGATAATGCCACTCAGAGCCTCTGTATTTTTTCATATACAATCCTCACTGAATCAAAGGAAAATTATCAGGCCTACTAAAAAAGAGGAAAGATAACTGAAAATCTTAAGAGAAAAGAAGGCAGATTTAAGGAAATTACTTATCTGAATTAGGTCAACTATAGCTGAACTCTTATGAATCAAGTGGAAATCTAGAATCAAAAAACACAGTAATGAAAATTATAAATTTAGTCGATGCAACAGGCTGGGCATGGTGGCACACAACTGTAATCCTACAAGCTACGTGGGACGCTGAGGCAGAAGGATTGCCAAATTCAAGACCAGACAGGGCAACTTAGTAAAAACCTAATATCAAAATAATTAAAATGAAGGCCGGTGAGATAGCTCAGCAGACTTTATGTACCCTTGGTGGCTCATGTGTATTTTTGTTCCTATGACCTGTATCTTTGCTAATTTTCTTATCTCTTTACTTCATATCTGTTCTCATCTTTAATTTAGATACACTTGTGTTTTCTGGCTGGTTGACTGTTTTGGGGGAATTCCTTGGGATTGAATTAAGGGCATTATAAGCTACATTTTCAGCCAATTTAATTATTTTTAAATGTATTTGGTACATGGTCTCACTACTCAGGGAGAGTAGTGAGCACCTGCTTAGGCAAACACAGGGACCAGGATTCAATCCCCCATGCTGTGCCAGCCCTGCCACTGGGCATGATGAGCTGGCCACAGAGACTGGGCATGGTGGTGCACACCTATAACCCTAATGCTAGGGAGGCTGAGCACAGGAGAATCACTACAAGTCTGAGCTGAGTAGTGAGACCCTGTACCAAATACATTTAAAAATAATTAAAATACACTTAATTCAATCCCAAGGAATACCCCCAAAACAGCCAACCAGCCAGAAAACACAAGTGTATCTAAATTAAAGATGAGAACAGATATGAAGTAGAGATAAGAAAATTAGCAAAGATACAGGTCATAGGAACAAAAAATACATAGGAGCCACCAAGGGTACATAAAGAACAAGACAGATGCACTATTTAAAGAGTGGCCACATTTTCCAAAATAGATGAAAAATATCAAGCAATAATTTAAGAAGATCTACTGCCAGGTCTGGTGGCACTTGCCTATCAATCCAGGATTCAGAAGGCATAGGCAAGGGAACTGCCGCAACTTCAGACTAACCTATTCTTCAGCAAGACCCTATTTATAAAAGAAGGTTTTACAAACACCAAACAGAATAAAGAAAGAAAACTGGCCACATTGTATAATACAAAATTGAGAGAGCGTAGGCCTGGTGAGTGAGTGAGACGACCTGGGGCCCGTGGGATCCTGAACAAACCCAGAGCCCAGGTCCAGCGACTGAGATGACTTGGGGCCTGCAGATTCTGAATAAACCAGGAGCCCAGGCCCAGTGAGTGAGTGAGTCGACCCGGGGCTATGGGATCCTGAATAGACCCAGAGCCCAGGCGTGGCAAGTGAGTGAGACTAGACCGGGGTCCGCGGAATCCTGAATACAACAGGAGTGCAGGCCCGGCCAGTGAGTGAGATGACCCAGGGCCCACGGATCCTCATTTGACCCACAGTGCAGGCCCAACGCAGAACCCTTCAGCAGAACTCCCTGCAAAGAGGCTAGAAGCAAGACCCACCCAGCTGATTCAGGAGCAGAACATCTTGCCAGAGACACACAAAGGGCTCAACTCTAACAGCTTCAGCAGAAAGAAGTGGAGCACAGCAGCCACATCCAAAACAACACCCACCTAAAGGAATCTGAACTTCGTAGGTCCAGACTGGTGCTAAGGTAGTAACTCTATCTACGCTCTACACCAAAGGTCAGAAGACAGTGATATATACAAAATGACAAAGAGAAGGAACAGGGGGTCAGGGAGATGGCTCAGTGGAATAAGCACTTCCCTGG